GGGAAGGTGGCTCAGTGGTAGAGCGCTTGCCTTGCATGCCTGAGGCCCTGGGTTTGATTCCTCAGCACCACATAAGCAAAAAGAAAAAAGCCGGAAGTGGGGCTGAGGCTCAAGTGGTAGAGTGCTAGCCTTGAGCTGAAGAGCTGAGGGAGAGCGCCCAGGCCAGAGTTCAGGCCCCACGACCGGACCCAAAAATAAATAAATAAAAAAAGAGAAACCTGTCCAGTGTTATATTATGGTAATGATACTAAAATGATATTGTATAAGCTTGCCTGTCATATTTTTGTCACTGTATATACATAATTTTGGGGGGGAGGGGATAATGGGTCTTGAACTCAGGGTGTGGGCACTGTCCCTGAGCTTTTTGCTCAAAGCTAGTGTTCTACTACTTTGAGCCACAGTGCCACTTCCAGTTTTCTGGTGGTTATTTGTAGTAAGAGTCTCACAGACTTTTCTGCCTAGGCTGTCTTTGAACTGTGATCCTCAGATCTCAGTCTCCTGAATTGCTAGGATTATAAGCTTAAGCCACTGACACTTGGCTTAATTGATAAATTTCTGGCAGTGAGATATTTTGTCAGCTACAGAAGTAATTTATCTACATAAAAAATTTATATATATAAATTGGGTGATGAATTTGTGTTTGATAATGTTTTATGATGTCTTTTACTCTTTAATAGATTTTTAGAAAGATAACAGCTTTACACAATCTGCTTTATACTTATTTTATATAGATGAGAAAGCAGTATACTTGGACTTACCCAAAGTGATGCTGCTAGTGACAGAGACAGGTCAGACATAAGTCCTCTGCTTTTCATTGGCCTTTCTCAGAGACTTGACTCATTTCTCTAAGATTTGCTAAACAGCTTAGGTAATGGATATAGGTTAAACCAAGACCCTTTTTGCCCCATTCCTCCTATTGGTAAATCTTTTCTCTGTTCTTTTTATTGAAATGCTTACTGATGTACACATATAAAAGGTGAAGATGTCATAAGTACATCTTTAGATATTTTTTTCCATTTCCCTTGATAGGTATGGAGAATACAGAATCCCAAACAAGGTTCTGAACAAAGAAGATCATTATGTGGGCCACTGGAAAGAAGGAAAGATGTGTGGCCAAGGTGTCTATAGGTAATAACATTAGAAAAACTGTTGGACTGGTGTTAATTTTTCCATGAAAATCTAGAGTTTGGGTAGCCATGATTCCTAAGGAATAAATTCAGTACACTCCTTTAATCACTTTAAAGTCTTCCTTTATAGTGCTATTCCTCATTTCTCACAAGATGACAATAGTAAGTTAGTAAATTTGTTTCCTAAGTTCTATATGTTATATATAACATTCTTATACATCCTGCCTATTAATGTAATTTCATTACTCAACTCTAAGACAGACTGAACATCTTTCTTTCTTCTCATTGATAACTAATTACTTCATTTTCCAGTCAAGTGACTAAACATACAATTTCTTCCTATGTAAATGCAAATATACCTTCATTATGTAGTAACATTTTAAGCTATATTATGCAAAAATGCAACATTGTTATTTGTGAAAAATAATCATATAAACAAATAATTACCATTGAGAATATCACTGTGGATTTTTTAGACTTTGTAATGTTCATTTGATGGGTCTTTACTGATCCTTTCCACAGTTACGCCTCTGGTGAAGTGTTTGAAGGCTGTTTTCAAGATAACATGCGTCATGGTCATGGTCTCCTCCGAAGTGGAAAATTAACTTCTTCTTCTCCCAGCATGTTCATTGGCCAGTGGGTGATGGATAAGAAATCAGGATATGGTGTCTTTGATGATATCACAAGGTACTGTATTCTGTTTTTGATCTCAAGTACAGTATAAAAGGATAAGGTTCTGTACTTCCCTTAAAATAATGATAATTTTATGAAGTCTGAGGTTTTGTAGCTTATTCTAACTTTGCTGTATAGCCCAGAGCAGCCTTGAACTTTCCATTCTCCTGCCTCAGTGTCCTGTGTATTAATTAGCACTACAGGCATTTACCACCATGCTAAGACTAAGCATCTTAACTTGGTAACATTAGAAAACATTTTCAGCCAGGAGCTGGTGGCTCACGCCTGTAATCTTAGCTACTCAGGAGGCTGAGATCTGAGGATCACGGTTCAAAGCCCGCTCGGGCAGGAAAGTCCATGAGACGCTTTATCTCCAATTAACCATCAGAAAATTGGAAGTGGTGCTGTGGTTCAAATGGTAGAGCACTTGCCTTGAGCTGAAGATCTCAGGGACAGTGCCCAGGCCTAGAGTTCAAGCCCCACAACCAACACACACCACACACACACACCACACACACACACACACACACACACACACACACACACTTTTCATAAGGAAACAGTTGTCAGATATCAGTTTTTGTTTTGTCTTTTTTTTTTTTTCTTGTGGGCCATGCAGTAGGTTACTTTTTTTCTGCCCTCCCTCAGTACTGGGGTTTGAACACAGGACCTTATGCTTGCCAGACAAGTGTTCCTACCACTTGAGCTACAACTCTAGCTCTTTTTGCTTGTATTATTTCTTTTTAATCTCTTGGAGTTTGAACTCAGTGTCTGAAGAATAAATAAATATTTGCTAGGCATGTGCTATACCACTTGAGTCATGCTCTTAGCCTGCCTTATTTTTCTAATAGGGTCTCACTTATCACTTTTATGCTCAGACTAGCCTGGCCCAGTCCTCCTATTTATACATCCTGTGCAGTTAGGATGTCCATCTGTCTTCAAGCTGAAATTCTCCCAATCCCCACCTCCCAAATAATTATAGTTACAGTAGTAAGCCACTGTTACCTTCTTTGGAAACAGCTTTTTTATTTCATGTTTTTGCAATGGCTCACATCCTTAATCCCAGTAGATTACTTCTGTAAAAAACCAGGATTATGTAGAATATGCATTTACCCTAAAGAGTTTGCTGTCTTGAAGAAGCTACTGCTTCAATGTAAAATCCTTTTTTTTTTTTTTATCAGTCGTGGGGCTTGAACTCTGGGCCTGGGCGCTGTCCCTCAGCTCTTCAGCTCAAGGCAAGGGCTCTACCACTTGAGCTACAGCGCCACTTCCGGTTTTCTAGTCGTTTATTGGAGATAGGAGTCTCACGGTCTCTCCTGCCCAGGCTGGCTTTGAACCATGATCCTCAGATCTCAGCCTCCTGAGTAGCTAGGATTACAGGCGTGAGCCACCAGCGCCCAGCTCAATGTAAAATCTTTAAAGCAGTCAATATGTAAAAAGCAGAAACCATTTCTTCTGGGGTTATAGATAGGATAGTATCTACTGAAAAGTTTTAGCCTTTCTGCTTAGGTAATTCTGTCAGGCTAGGGACTTGTTTTCCTATGTACAAATCAAGGATCAAGCCTAGTTAAATTCAGTTAAAGCCTTGGAGGAATATAATTTTTGTTGTTGTTGTTGGTCATGGGGCTTGAACTCTGGGCATGTGCGCTGTCTCTCAGCTCTTCAGCTCAAGGCGAGCGCTCTACCACTTGAGCTACAGTGCCACTTCCAGTTTTCTGGTGGTTTATTGGAGATGAAAGTCTCGTGGTCTTTCCTGCCCTGCCTGGCTTTGAACCTCAATCCTCAGATCTCAGCCTCCTGAGTAGCTAGGATTACAGGCATGAGCCACCAGCGCCCAGTGGAATATAATTCTTTACCTCAATATTTGATTTGATATATTTACTTTGGACAATATACACTTTCTCCCATGTTATTAATGTACAATTTAAAAATTACTGTTATTACTAAATTGTATGATTATTTAAGCAGTTTTCTGTTTAAAAGAGCCTAGTAAGGTTTCTTTAAATTTGAGTAAGTGAAAAGACTAGCCTTTTATGGCAAACCACATTTTTTAAAAATTTACTTAGTAAGTAAACTTTTAAGCAAAGGAAAATAGTTAAAAAGTTTGATTCTGCTTACATTTTAGCTTCTTTGGCATTAAAAAAATTACATATCTTAAAGTTATTTAGGAAGTATATAAAGTATATGTAGGGCTGGGAAGGTGGCTCAGTGGTAGAGCACTTGCCTTGCATGCATGAGACCCTGGGTTCGATTCCTCAGTACCACATAAGCAAAAAGAAAAAAGCCAGAAGTGGCACTATGGCTCAAGTGGTAGAGTGCTAGCCTTGAGCTGAAGAGCTGAGGGACAGTGCCCAGGCCCAGAGTTCAGGTCCCACGACGAGACCCAAAAAATAAAAAATAAAAATAAATAAAGTGTATGTAGATCCATGTCAGGTAGACACTCTGATGAGAACATAGTTTTGAGTAAGGTATCTTCAGCTGTCTGGTGTGTGAGGGGACAGAATTCAGAATTCACCACTGTAACTAGAAAAGTAGAATAATTGGTATCTACTAACCTAGAAATAATGTCTTGGGGGATGTCCTTTGTAAAATAACTTTTATCCCTTTTCTCATTGCCATCACCAGTATCTGTTTTCATTCTTCTTTTCTGTTTATTCAGGGGAGAAAAATATATGGGAATGTGGCAAGATGATGTATGCCAGGGGAATGGAGTGGTAGTTACCCAGTTTGGATTATATTATGAAGGCAACTTCCACGTTAATAAAATGATGGTGAGTGTGATTTTTTTATATGCAGCTCCTATTGACTTTTTTTTTTTGCCAGTCATGGGGCTTGAACTCTGGGCCTGGTGCTGTCCCTCAGCTCTTCAGCTCAGGCTAGCACTCTACCACTTGAGCCACAGCCCCACTTCTGGATTTTTTCTGCTTATGTGGTGCTGAGGAATCGAACCCAGGGCCTCATGCATGCAAGGCAAGCACTCTACCACTGAGCTACCTTCCCAGCCCGCTCCTATTGACTTTTAAAAATCCCTATATCTCTTAATTTTTTTTAGGTTGGTATGCCAAGTATTGGGACTTGAACTCAGGGTATTATGCTCAGTTGGCTTTTTTGCTCATAGCTGTTACTCTATCACTTAAGCCACACCTCTGCTTCCAGATTTGTATTGGTTTATCGGCAATAAAAGTCTCTCAGATTTGTTGGCTTGGACTGGCTTCAAACCATGATCCTCAGATCTCAGCCTCCTGAGTAGTTAGGACTATAGGAGCAAGCCACGGGGCCCAGTCTATCCCTAACTTTATAACCATCTTTTAATATTCTGCTTTCTTAGTACAATTTTCTTTGTCTTTTATATTATGGAAGGCTTTGAAGATTTGACCACAGGAACACTTTAATTTACTCTGCATTTTATTGTATTGTGATTTTTATATTGTTTTTTATTTTTTCTCCCACAGGGAAATGGGGTTTTACTTTCTGAAGATGACACTATCTATGAGGGAGAATTTTCTGATGACTGGACTCTAAGTGGAAAGGTTAGAAATGTACTACTTTTTCTTTCTCTACTACATTCTTCTCCTAATTTTTCTTGAGTTTAAGAATTTATATACCATAAGAGTCACTAATTTTAAATGTACATTTCAATGATTTTTTTAGATATATGAAGTTGCATGACCCTTAGTTTAGATATAGACATCACTTGAAAAATATGCTCCTGCTCTTTCAGTTACTTCTATTTCTGCCTTCAGTTCCAGATCTTATCTGTAAGACTTGCCTTTTTTAAACCTCTCTTATAAAGGTAATCATACCTATGGCTTATTCTGTATAGTAAAAACAATATTACCATACTATTTTTGAAGTTTTCCGGTATAGTACTTGATTTTCTTTTCTCCCCTGTATAGTATTTCCAAACCACATTTTATTTGTCCCTTCACTAGTTGATGGAAACTGGATTATTTCTTCTTTGTTCTTGTTGAGGATTAATCTCAACTTTGTTCTTGTTATGAAAGCATTCTGCCACTTGTACCATGCCTCTAATCCTTTAGCTTTGATAGTTTGTTTTTCATATAGTGTCTTGTACTATCTTTGCCCAAACTGACCTTGGACTTCCAATCCTTTTATCTCTGCCTCCCTTATAGCTGGAACCATAAACTTGCTTCACCATACCTGGCTTGTTTTTGCAATGTGGTTTCACTCACTCACAAGGCCCCAGACTGACCTTGAACTGTGATTTCCCTATCTCTGCCTCCCAAGTAACTGGGTTTAGAGGAGTGCACCACCATGCCTGGCCTACCACTGTCTTATTTTTAACTCAAGACTATTGTGAACAATGCCAATCTGAACAATACCAATATGAACATTTGACCTACAACATTATGTTTTAATACATGTTTTTGTTTCTTTTTAGTAGTTAACTAGAAATATAATTGTTGGGTTATGTCATAAATGTTGGATGACCTATTAAGAAACTTCCCAAATGATTTCCAAAGTGGTTGCTCTATTTTGCATTCTCATCAACAAAGTGTAAGGACTTTAATATTTTCATTTTGCATATGGATACCCTTATGCAAAAAGAGTAAATTCTTAACTCACAAAAGTTACCTGCAGTTAGTTATTCTATTCCAGTGAGTATAAAGCAATATTCTTATATTTAATTTGCCATTTACCAAATGATTAGTGATACAGACATATTTTGTTTACTTAACATATCTTTTTTTAGTGAAATGTCTATTCAAATCTTATTGTTGAATTGTATGAGTTCTTTTTATGTTCTGGATATGTCTTTTATCAGATATATGATTTATACATATTTTTCTATAGCCTGTGACTTGTTTTGCTTTCTTCTTCTTCTTTTTTTTTTTTTTATGGTTGTGGGGTTTGAACTTTGGGCCTGGGTGCTATCCCTGAGCTCTTTAGCTCAAGGCTAAGGCTCTACCACTTGAACCACAGTGCCACTTGCAGTTTTCTGGTGGTTAATTGGAGATAAGAGTCTCCCAGAATTTCCTTCTTTGAACTGTGATCCTCAGATCTCATCCTCCTGAGTAGCTAGGATTATAGGCATGAAACCACCAGCACCCAGCTTGTTTTCTGAATGGGTCTTTTTAAAGCATAAAAGTTGTTAACTTTTTATGAGGTCTAATTTATCATAAGAATTTTTATAACTCAGACTTTGGTGTCCTATTTAAAAAAATATTTCCAAGAAATTTCTGGGATTATTTTTGTTTGTTTTTGAAGACAGAGTCTTACTATATAGACTTAAACTGTTCTGGAATTCACAGTACAGTTCAAACTGGCCTTGAACTCATGAGCCTCTGCCTCAGCTTTTTGTGTATTAAGATTATAGGTATGCACCCATTGCTGGGAGTTTTTTTTAGTTTTATAGTGGACTGAGGATGTAGCTTAGTGGGTGAATGTTTGCCTACCATGTGCAAGGCTGTAGGTTTGATTCTCACCACTGTAAAAAATAAAGGTTTATAGTTTTTATATCTTGTATTAGTAGATTAAGGATTTACTGTAAGTGAAATTTTATGAATAGTGTAGATGTCTTTTTATATGTAAAAACTACTTGCCCTACTACCTTTTCTCACTGAATCTTTTTGACATATTTGTTGGAATTAATTGGCCATAAAATATGCTAATTTCTGGATCGTCAGCTATGTTCCTTTGTGCAGTATGTCTCTCCTTATGTTAACACTTCATTATCTTAGCCAAACATGGTTTCACATTCCGGTAATCCTGACACTCAGAAAGCTTATACAAGAGGGTCATGATTTTGAGGCCTGCTAGATACTATCTCAAACAAAAAATAAAGTTAAAAGAAGATTTTGAGTTACATTATGAAATGAAGTATGTCTTCCAGCCTTGTTCTTAAAAATTGTTTCAGCATCCCAGATTCTTTACCCTCATCTCCTATATACTAGGTAAGCCCTCTACCATGTAAGCCACATTCCAAAATTAGGTTCTTGCTCACACTGCCTTGGCTGGCCTAGCATTCATAGTATTCCTGCCTCTACCTCCTGAGTATTTGGTATAGGTGTGTGCCAAATAAACTTTAGGATTGGCCTGCTGAGATTTTGATAGCAAATACATTGAACATATAGGTAATTTGGGGAGAATTGACATCTTAATATTATTGACTCTTTTAATCCATCTTACTAATAAAATTGAATCTTCTAATCCATTAACATAGAATATCTCACATTCATGTTTATCTTTAATTTCTGTCAGCAGTATAATATAGTTTCAGTGTACATGTCTTGCATTTTTTGATTAAATTTATTCCTAGATATAGTGCTATTATAATGACAATTATTTTTAAAATTTTATTTTTAGGTTGTTCATTACTAGAATATAAAAACAAAATTGATTTTTTTTTCTTTTTTGGTAGTATTAGGCATTGAACTCAACTTCATGCTTGTTCAACTTGCCTGTTTGGCTAGCACACTACTAATTGCTTGCTCATTTGCTTGATACTCTGTCACTTGAGCCATGCCTCCAGAATGGCTTTTTGTTGGTTATTTTGAAAGTAGGATCTCTTGGACTTTTCTACCCAGGCTGGCTTTGAACTGCAACCCTCAAAGAGCAGAGATTGGTAAAGAGCAAATTAAAAAATATGTTAAAATTTAATGCTTCTTTTCCTCATAATTTTTAAAACTGAAAATACTTCCTCTAATTCTACTTTTTTCCCCTCTCACTTCACCTAGGGAACACTGACTATGCCAAATGGAGATTACATTGAAGGCTATTTTAATGGAGAATGGGGATCTGGGATAAAAATTACTGGAACTTACTTCAAACCTAGTCTGTATGAGACTGATAAAGATAGACCCAAAGTTTTGTGAGTAATTCTTCTGACTTAACTATTGAATTTTTAGGTAGTCTTGTTTTCATCAAACAGATTAATATTTTAAAAGCAGAATCAAGTTTTTAAAAACAAAAAGTCTATATAATTTCCCTGAATTGTTAACTGACACAACTGTAGATACCTAAATCTATAGTCTTGGCCTAAATCTAAGCCTTATCAGGTAAATGTTTAAGAGTTATAGGTGTTATGCTGAGAGTATGACTTAAGTGGGAGGCTTTGAGTTCAAATATCAGTAGTACAAAAAAGAATGTTACAAGTGTGAGAGCAGTCCTGTTAATACTACAGTTGTCCAAACTGATGCAAGAGAGGTACTGGGAATTGAACTCAGAGCATATAACTTGTAGGCAAGTGCTCTACCACTTGAGTCATGCTTCTAGTCCTGAAAGGGTGTTCTTAAATGGAAATCCTATACCACTTGAATTTCAATTTAAAAGAAAGACACACATATACACACACACACACACATCCCCCAAATAGAATAGTAAAATCTTCATATACGAAGAAAAAGAACAAAGTCTACATTACTAACAAAAAAAGGAAAGAAAACTCACCAACCTAACCTAAGCCATTGCTGGTGTGGTAAAGCTAATCCTAGATTCTGACAGTTGACAGAGGATTCAACACCCCAACCCCACAAAGTCCAAAATGCAGAGTTTTTTTCCTTTTTCAACTTAATCCTTAGAAGAACAGAAGTGCAACTTAGACTCATAGTCTGGATTCCTGTTTCTCCCAATTCCATGTCTGAGGCCCCAGCATTCCAGCCCACCAACCCACCATGGGACTAAGAAGTCTGAAATCACTCACCCAGCATAAGAGCTGCACCTCTGGGTAGGCCTCTTCTGGGCCTACTACTTGGCATTCTTATGTCCCTTTCTAATCACCCCTTACTGCCTGAAGCTCAGACTGCCAAGTGAGTGAATGTACTTCACTTGGTTGCTGCCATATTGACAAGGGGTAGTATCTTTTTGCTTGCAATGTTAGCTTTTTCTTCTTGTTATTGCATCTCATCTATGTTCCAGTGTACCAAATTTTTTTTCTAAGAGTATTTTTAAAATTCCATATGTAATGAATACATTTCGCAATTCTCATCATGCAATGTGCAAAGTACAAAAAGTCTTCATTTTACTAGGAATTGTGTTTCTAAAATTAATTCTGTGGAGATGTAGAAAGCAGGTATCAGTTGCAGTATCTAAAAAACAATAATTGGATAAAAACTATCTCTTCCAATTTTGCATTCAGAATTTTTAAATAGAGCTGCCACCAATTTAGACAGTGTGGGTCAGAATTATTCTCAGTTGTATATTAGAAAGCTTCTATAATTTGAAATGAGTTTGCAAAAAAGAAGTGGTTAATGGAAGGTTGATTTGGCTTTATTAGCAGGAAGCTAGGGAACTTGGCAGTGCCACCAGATGAGAAGTGGAGAGCAGTGTTTGATGAGTGTTGGCATCAGCTGGGCTGTGAGAGCCCAGGCCAAGGGGAAGTTTGGAAAGCATGGGATAATATTGCTGTGGCTTTGACCATCAATCGGCGCCAGCACAAAGACAGGTGAGTGAATACCTGCCCAGCATGTGGTAGAACTGTTCAGCAGATGAAACTGAAAGCTATTAAGTAGCCAAGGTTAACTACATTTAAACTCCACAAATATAATTTAAAAGTTAATGATGTACTTCTCATGAGTAAACTGGGTTAAAGCACTCATCCTTTATCTTCTCTTGAACTCCATTATGAAACCAGGACAGAATATATGGACAGCTATTTGAGAGCTTGGTAAAGCAGATAGCAACAGATAATTGAGGAAGAACACCTAAATTCATAGTATCACCAAATCAATGAGTTTAATGAGTTTTTGCTTCAGTATTCCTCAGCCTGAACTCAGGCAGTCTGAAAATAAGCACTGTGGTGCAGATAGCTGGAGATCCAGAGAAAAACCCTCTAGCAGCCGGGCGCCGGTGGCTCACACCTATAATCCTAGCTACTCAGGAGGCTGAGATCTAAGGATCACGGTTCAAATACAGCCAGGGCAGGAAAGTCTGTGAGACTCTTATCTCCAATAAAACCACTAGAAAACTGGAAGTGGTGCTGTGGCTCAAGCGGTAAAGTGCTCGCCTTGAGCTGAAGAGCACAGGGACAGCGTCCAAGCACAGAGTTCAAGCCCCACGACCGACCAAAAAAAAAAAAAAAAACCCTGTAGCTCTAACTCTAGGAGAGAGACAGGACTTCTAAAACACTGAATGGAGGCTACTTAACTGGTCTTCATTTTTGTTCTCCGGACTCCCATGCCCTAGCCACTAAGTAAGGTACCTGTGTAGCTAAATGGTAATGGCAGTGAATAGAGCAACTATGAGAAAGAAGTTTGCAGGAGCCACAACTTCAAAGAAGTAGAACCTTTTTCCCTGTGTTGGTTATTCTCAAGTTCAAGAGGCAAGATCAAACCCTATTTACTTTGGTGCTTCTCTGTTTATCATCCCACCATTGGGCCCTACATCTTGCCTGTTCACAGAAATGGGCAGTTTCTGGCTGTAGTACCTAAGAGGAAAATTCTGAGAACCTAAAAGTACAAGGGAAGTAATGGAGAGACAAGAACAACAACCTCAGGAAGTTGTCTGTGATCTCCCATGTCTCCTGTTGTATTATTATGAGCTCCTTGCTTCTTGGGCCTATTTTCATTTCTTCCTTTGCTCTTTGACTTAGTTTTCTTTTCCTTAAGCTTTTTTTATTCATTTTCCTTCTTATTATAACAGGTCTTAAAGCTAATGTCATTAATTTCTCAACAGCATGGTTTATAGTTTGGAGCACAATTTTCATTAACTCATTATAGTATGTATAATGTTAAACGTTGCTTTGGATAATATGTAAACAGAGTGCCTCATGGCAATTCATCCACCCTTTATGAACTCACTTGGGCCTGTGCTGGATGTTCCATTTTATCCTGAGTTGGTGATATGTTTCCTGTGTACATTTGCAATTATCTTGCTTTCTTGATGTGAAATATACAATTGGCTTCCTTTTTCCTTTTTGTAGTCCAGAAATACTAAGTCGTTCACAGACTCAGACACTAGAGAGTTTGGAATTCATTCCCCAACATGTTGGTGCCTTCTCTGTGGAGAAATATGAAGACATTAAGAAATATTTAATAAAGGTAGAGTCAAAATTATATTGGCTTTGTGAATTGATGTTGTTATTACAATACATCATTCAAATGTTAACCTGATCCTGGTTTTACTTTCTTAGTATTTATTTTGCTACCTTGACTAGTAAGGTCATATTTCTTCATGATTATAAACTCTTTAATAAGATAAAGACTTTTTAAGTTTTGTATGATGCTCAAGGAGGTTCCTAAGGGTTAAATTCAAAGTTTAAAATAGGTGTTTAAAAAATCTTTAGCTGGGTGCTGGTGGCTCACACCTGTAATCCTAGCTACTCAGGAGGCTGAGATCTGAGGATTATGGTTCAAAGCCAGTCTAGGCAGGAAACTCTTATCTCTAATAAACCACCAGAAAACCAGAAGTGGCTCAGTAGCTCAAGTGGTAGAGCACTAGCCTTGAGCTGAAGCTGAGGGACAACGGTCAGGCCCAGAGTTCAAGCCCCATGGCTGACAAAAAAAAAAAAATCTTTTAAGGTAAAATTAGCAAAGTAGAGGTTTTATGAGCAAAGCATGCTAAAATGCTGCCTTTGCTTCTTTCTCACCCCTCTTAGATCAGCAGAATTTAAATTATGACATGCATTATTTTCTGTTATATTCAGGGTTCTGAATATGAATGTTAAACAAGTTTGTTTTGGGGGTGAGTACAATTCTGAAGGTAGAGGTGATTGGAAAGGGTATTAGAGGTGAATATGAGTGAAGTACTTTATAGACACAGAATAATGAACAGAGAACAGAATAATGAAACCTGTTGAATGTTTTAAGAAGGAGAGGAGGAGAATGATAGATGGTGAATTTTGATTTGTTACATTGTATACATAGATGAAAGTACCACAATGAAACCCTTTTGAACTAATAAAAGCTAATAATTATGGGAAAAGTATCAACAGCATTTATATTTCTCTGAGGTAATGGTTTACATACTTTTTGTGAAGGTTTTTGTTTTGTTTTATTTTGTTTTAAGCAAGGTGTTACTGTGAAGCCAGGCAGGCCTGGATACTTACTTGCCTGCACTACCTCATGTACAACCATGCCTGGCTCATTTTTGTGAACTTTAAAATTCACTGGAATAGCTGGGCACTGGAGGCTCATGCCTGTCATCCTTGCTACTCAAGAGGCTGAGATCTGAGGATCATGGTTCAAAACCAGGCAGGAAAAGTTCATGAGATTCTTATTTCCAGTCAACCCCCAGAAAACTGGAAGTAGTACTGTGGTTCAAAATGTTAGAGTGCTTAGGCCCTGAGTTCAAGGCCCATGACCACCACCACCAAAAAAAATACATTAGAATGTTTATCTCAACATTCATATATATATATGTTATATAAACATTTTCAAGATTAAACATATGTGAACATTTTCAAGAATATTTTCCCAAGTCAAAAAAGAAGTCAGATTAAGATTAGTAGTCTCAGTAACCACTGTTTTGGCTTCCAGTTCTATGAGTTCAACTTTATTAAGTTCCACATATGAGGGAGATCATGTGTATCTGTCTTACTGTACCTGCCCTTCTATACCACTGATATTGCTGCAAATGACAGGATTTAGTCTTTTTTTTTTTAATAGCCAAATAGTTTTTCATTGTAGAAAAATAAGTGGTGGTATTCTATTAAACAAAAGGTGATTGTGGGTAGCTTAGCAGTATGGCATCATTTAATTCAAAATATCTATATGAAAGAATTTGAATATTCTCATCACAAAGATATGATAACTATTCAAGATGATGGATAACCTAAGTATTCTGAGTTGATCAAACACAATATATAAGTATATCAAAAAATTATATTGTTCCCTATAAAAATGTGAAAGTATTACCTGTCAATTAGAAAAAAAAATCATTAGGAACTAAAGCAATGTGTAATTTAAGTAGATTCAATGTTTGGAATTAACTGCTGACAATTTTTTAAAATTTTATTATATTGTAATGGTGATGTACAGAGGGGTCACAGTTAAATAAGTAAGGTAACTACTGACATTTTTTTAATGATCATTTTATGAGATTGTGTATCATTGATGGCTTGTTTCTGCTCTTAATTATTTTGACTGATTTACTTGATTCTCTTTCTGCTCAGGCCTGTGACACTCCACTGCATCCACTGGGCAGACTTGTGGAGACACTAGTCGCAGTATATAGAATGACATACGTAGGTGTGGGAGCCAACCGTCGACTACTGCAGGAGGCAGTAAAGGAGATTAAGTCATACCTTAAGCGACTTTTCCAGCTAGTGAGGTAAGAGATTTGTTTCACTGAAATCTGAAAGCTGTAAAACTGTAGTTTACATTAATCCTTTGGTATTGTCACCCTAATTCTACCCTTTATCACAGAAATTATTCAAGAAAATGGTATAATGCCATAGGTTCTTAAATAGATTAATTGGCAAAAGTATTCTCAATTTATGTTTGTGTTAGGAATGCAAAAAAAATAAATCTTAGCCAGAGCTATTTACTTCCTTTAACTGAAGTTCAATATGTTTGTTATTTTTATTCTAATTTGGTGTGAAAGATACTTTTTATTTGGATATAATTTTTTTAGGCAAAATTATATTCCTAATCCCTAGTCACAGAGTAGATAAAGTTCAATGTAAAGCTCTGTTCTGAAAATTTACTCTGTCCTTCACAACAGCATGATATACATTTATTTATTCAACAAATACCCTTGGAATGTTTCTATCTCTTAGCATCAGTGTTCTAGTGGCACTTACATTCTAGTGGGAATAAAGAGTAAGATATAAAACATACATTATGTCAGTATGATTGTACTTTAGAGAAAAATAGGAAGGAATGAGTATGGCTCTACTATTTTATATGTCAAGGAAAATGACTATTAGGGTGATATGAAAACAGTAGCTGAACAAGCCATGAAGAATCTTGGAGATGGTAGTTCTAGGCTGCTTGTTAGATGCAAGATTTCTTAATGTTTTTAAATACTACATTGAATTAAATATATAAACATTCATGAATTTGACAGAAGCTTCATTATACTGTTATCCTCAAAATTGATGAATGCATTGCAAGTATTCCAGGTTTTAAAGAGCAGTATGTCCTCCAAAAACACTGCATATAGAGTGTTGCAGCTCCAACAGTTAGCTAGATGTGTATAATGAAGATAAATTTCTTGATCTTTTTTTTTTTTAGCTTTTCCAACTGTAAAATTAAGACAGAGGAAGGAGCAAGAAATAGATAAGAATACAAACTACCTTTGAAAGGTCAAGGTTTAAGTGTATAAAAATATGGTAGTCTCCCAGCCTACCAGAGTCAGAGATAAAATCTAGGGTAAAACCCAAGGCTATAAAACAAAAACAAATAAAAAATCCTTCAATAATTTAATCCCTTGATCCCTAGAAAAAATAACTTTCAGCAAATCAGCTTTAACTTTTAAATTTATGTTGAGATTTCTATAATTAATGATTCTTAATATTGAACACAGTTTCAACTGGTATTTGCTTACCTAAGAATAATGGTTTCTGCTTAGAGTTAGTATAAATTGGCTTCAGATAAGATACATATTTTTAGGTAGATTAGAATTCTTCATTTCTTAGTAACTAGGCAGGAAAAAAAACCCCACAGCACATCAGATTAGAATTCTGAGCCACTAAAATACTTGTTAAGTTTGCTTTCATGGGCCCTGAGATAGATTAACAACTAGAGATATATTTTTACTTATTTCAGCTCCTCTGGAAATGTAATTGTATAGCTGTACTTATGTCTTAGGTTCTTATTTCCTGAACTTCCTGAAGAAGGAAGTACAATTCCTCTCTCTGCTCCTCTGCCAACTGAAAGGAAATCATTTTGCACTGGGAAGTCAGATTCCAGATCTGAATCTCCAGAGCCAGGGTAAGTAGAATTAAGTAAAATAAAATGGTGTAGAAATGGGTTAGAGGCTAGATAATCTATCCAAAAAGGCCCACTTTTAAGTTGCTTTCTCTAGACCTGTTCCCTCATTTCTTCAATGATATAGACAGATTAGATGTCCTCTAGGTTCTCTGAGGTATCTAGTTTTCTCTCAACAAAGAGCAACCACAATCAGGAGCAATCAGCAACAAATGTTGCTTAGCAACTTCATGCCAACATAGAAAGAGCCTCAGAGAAAAAGCAGCCTTAGGGTGGAAACAAAAGCCAGTGGCATAGATCTATAACCCTACTTTCATAAGGGGCTGAGACCTGGAGGATAGAGGTTCTAAGCTAGTCAAAGCAGAATACTCTGCGAGACTCCACCGCTAGTTAACCAGCAAAAAAGCCAGGTCAGAGGTTTGGCTCAAGTGGTTGAGCTCCAGCTACTGTGAACAAAGAAAACCAAGTTAATCAAGCACTAGTACCTGCAAAGAGAAAAGGAAACCAAGATTTTGGGTTTGATTTCCAGTTAATGACTAGAATTTGTAGTTGGTCCAAGACAAAGCAGTAGATAAGTTGCTCCTGTTAATTCTATATTTAAACAGTACAATCACAGGCCAGACTGTAGCAGAGCACACTTGCAGCCATAGCTACTTGGGAAATAGAGATCAGATGAATCACAATTTGAGGCAAGCCTATGCAAGCCTGAAAGCCCATCCAGGGCAAAAATATGAAACCTTATTTGAAAGTCAACTAAAAGAAGGGCTGGGGGCATGGCCTCAGTGATACAATGAGCAAGCAAGAAGCCAAATTCAAACCCAAGTACTCCCCCAAAAGAGTAGAGTAACAACTTCTTTAACATGTCATGTTTGCACTTTTAAATTTTAGGAAAAGAAGCTCTATTTTTTTATTCTACATTTGGTTATAATAAGAATACTTCTATCTTCCCACTCTAATATTTGTAGTTACGTTGTAACAAGTTCTGGATTACTGCTTCCTGTGCTACTACCTCGGCTCTACCCACCATTGTTCATGCTCTATGCCTTGGATAATGATCGTGAGGAAGACATTTACTGGGAATGTGTTCTGCGTTTAAATAAGCAGACAGATATTGCTCTCTTGGGCTTTCTTGGAGTTCAGAAGTAAGTATAGCAGTTAAGAGTGCTACTAAAAGCTTTTAATTTAAAATCTATCAGAGGCCAGACACAGGTGGCCATATCTGTAATCCTAGCTACTCATGAGACTGAGATCAGAGGATCATGGTTCAAAGCCAACCCGGGCAGAAAAGTCCCTGTGAGACTCTTTATCTCCAGTTAACCACCTCAACAAACCAGAAATGGCCCTGAGGCATATGTGATAGAGCACTAGCTTTGAACACAAAGAGGCTCAAAGACAGCGTCCAGGCTCTGAGTTCAAGCCCCACAACCCTCCACCCCTCAAAAAAAAAGTTAAGTGACTTGTTTTGCTTGGTATTTTGTAATCATTTAAATAAAAAAAATACGTATATAAACCTTCCTTATAAAAATTGCTACTGTGCTTCTTTCTCTTCCTTCCCTCTCCATTAACAATTGATTTCAGAGTCTTAGAGGTGCTCCTTCTGTCCTAAGGTATGATTTCTTGCTCCAGGGAAATACTATGAAAGACTGCAGTGAAAAAGCTGATCCCCTATAATTATGTGTTTGTGCTTTCAAAAAAAGTGAATAAAGAACTGGGAACGTGGCTCAGTGGTAGAGTGCTTGCAGGAAGCCCTAGGTTCGATTCCTCAGTACCACATAAACAGAAAAAGCCAGAAATGGCACAAGTGTTGAAAGAAGCTCAGGGACAGTACCCAGGCCCTGAGTACAAGCCTGGGACTGGCAAAAAGAAAAGTGAATAAGCTTTAGTTGAAAAGTAATTTTTTTCACTAGAGTAATTTAATAGTAAAAATGAGATAAAACTGAATGAAAGAATTTAGCCAGTATCATTAGTAATTAGTCACAAATCTCTCTGAGATATTATAGATACTTCTAGTCATGATCAGAACAGAGAAGCCAACTTAGCTATCAGCTTTTTATTTATTTTTTTTGGTCGGTCGTGGGGCTTGAACTCTGGGCTTGGGCGCTGTCCCTCAGCTCTTCAGCTCAAGGCAAGCACTCTACCACTTGAGCTACAGCGCCACTTCCGGTTTTCTGGTGGTTTTATTGGAGATAGGAGTCTCACGGTCTCTCCTGCCCGGGCTGGCTTTGAACTGCGATCCTCAGATCTCAGCCTCCTGAGTAGCTAGGATTACAGGCGTGAGCCACCAGCGCCCGGCGCTATCAGCTTTTTAATGGGCGTATATCTACAATAGTAACATCTTACATTAACCACTTATGGATTTTATTATAGGAAATTTTGGCCAGTGACCTTGTCAATCCTTGGAGAGAGTAAAAAGGTATAGTAGATTTCGTTTTCTTACGTATGCTCTTTTCCTTTGTTATGAAGTTTCAAGATAGAAAAAAAAATTCTTACATGAACATTTTGTCTGCATCCCTTGCCCTTGGGTCCCCAGTGAAGAGTCTGAAATAAAGGTATATGAAGCATCTACATGACAACAGTTAGGGCACACTGAGTTTTAAACCAAGAGTAGGGATTTAACATTGAACTGGGTATGGTGGAATGAGCCTGTCTTCCTGTCTTCGGACATAGGAGTGGAAGATCATGAGTTTTAAGTCCAGACAGGATTACATGACAGAATCCAGTTTAAGATCTGCAGGTGGATACTTCATTTGGAAACATTAGAGGATGTTCTGTAGGTCAGCAGCAAGATTGAAACTTATATATTATAAGGTGCTCTGGGAAAGAAAATTATAAACAAGGATTTTTACCTTAAGTTCTATGAACTACTTGGAAAAACAATTCATTTTACTTTGGTAAGATAGTATTCAGACTTGTGTTAGTATCAATTATCCACCAGGGAGCTGCACTCACCAACTTTTATTTCTTTTTATTGTTGTAATCTCCCCTCTTTGATCTTTATTAATTCCTTTTTTTCTGTAGGTTTTACCAACTACGAAAGATGCTTGTTTTGCTTCAGCAGTAGAATGCCTGCAGCAGATCAGGTGATATCTGAGTTGTTGAAAAATTACAAATAACAGTAGTGTTTAGTCCATTACGATGTTGATAAGCTCTTTTCTTTTTTTCCTTCAGTGCCCCCTCTCCACTCCCAAACTTTGCTATACTCAATCTGGAGATCAGAAAGTCTCTTCTTTTACTCTGAAATGCTCTGCATTTTCAAAAGTAGTGGGCAGCCTACTCAGGAATTTATCTGTATTCTCACATCTTTAGCCAAATAGAAATTCCGTGAACTTAATTCCCACTTGGTTAAAGAAAAGAACATATAATAAGAAAAAGATTTCATGTAGGTAGAAAGAAATAACACTTAACTTACAAACTCTTCGTATGAACTCTTGTTACTTGGAGGCCTTTTCCCTGGAGATCATCCCTTTCCGTGATTCAGTAGGCTTCATGTCCAATTTGAGACATGTGAAATTCAGAAGGAAATATTGTCAAAAATTTAATAAGACCAGTTCCAAGCTTTATTAAGAAATTAATGGACTTTTTTGTGTGATTTTATTTTTCACAACAGCACAACCTTTACCCCATCAGACAAACTTAAGGTCATCCAGCAGACTTTTGAAGAGATCTCTCAGAATGTCCTGGCATCACTCCAGGAAGACTTCTTATGGTCCATGGATGACCTTTTCCCCGTTTTCTTATATGTGGTGCTACGGGCCAGGTATCTAATGTTTTCTGACTTCCCTAATACTGAGCTTTATTATAATGAGTCTGCTGTTGAGTTTTTCTGAAATGATGACAGGATTGTGTTCTCCTTATAGAGAATAAAAATTTACTTCTGTTAACACACTCTACTATGGTATTACCACCTTATTTCACTTTTTCTTCCTATCGATTGGTTCAAAAAGAGGAAGGCCTTGTAAATGGAAATGACTTAGCATCTTTTTCTCTTTCGGGCAGGATTAGGAATTTAGGCTCTGAGGTGCACCTCATTGAGGACTTGATGGACCCCTATCTTCAGCATGGGGAACAAGGTATAATGTTCACCACCTTGAAGGTGAGTGTCAGTATTATTTAAAAATAATGCTTATCTTGTAAGCTATCCTTCATTTACTATATTGTAAGTCTTCCACTAATCACTTTCTTTTTCTTCTTCTTCTTCTTTTTGTGCCACTCTTGGGCTTGAAATCTGGGCATGGGTGCTGTCCCTGAACCTTTTTGCTTAAGGATAACACTCTACCACTTGAGCCACAACTCTACTTCCAATTTTTTGGTAAAATTTAGTGGAGATAAGAGTTTCACTGATTTTCTTGCTTGGTCTGACTTCAAACTGCAATCCTCAGCTCTCAGACTTCTGAGTAGCTACAATTACAGGTGTGAGCCACCGGCACTCAGCCATTTTCTTTTATATAGGAAAATTGAATGAAAATGCAAGTTTTTGATATTTAAAATTATGACAATATATTAAATTGGGTAAGCCAGTTATTCTTTAAAATCTGAAAGCAAATTATTCACTTACTTAATGTCTCTGTAAATTGAACATTCAAAATGTTGTAAATACTTACTTTTATAACTGTAGAAGAGAAACAGAAAGGTGTTGGAGTCACGGCTCAGTTGGTAAAGTGCTGACCAGTGAATGAAAGCATCAGGTACTGAATTGGAGTTTGAGTCTCTGACCTAAAAAAAGAAACAGAATTCTTACAGACACAGAAAGTATCCAACAGCAAAGGAGGAGGCAACAATACTCAATAGGAAATGTACTCACTACCTTGCTCATGTAACTGTAACCCCTCTGTACAGTATTTTTACAATAAAAACGTACAAAAAAAAGTATCCAACAGAACTTTTTAGTGGAACTAAAATAGGAAACAGGACAGTGTACAAATAATGAATTTGAATAAGATCTCACTATGTATCTTAGTCTGACTCAGTCTTTCTGTCTTTACCTCCAGAGTACTGAGATTATAGCATGCACCACCATACCCAACTGATTTGGTCTATTTAATTTCCCACCTTGATTTTTTTTCTTGGAACTTAATAGAATCATTCTAAGGTTATTGGAAGAACAGCAAATAAAAAGTAGCAAAAACCACCCTTAAAAAAGAGGGAGAGCAGACCACTCTGCAGTTAGTAAAACATTATAAATTAAAATAATTAAGATGAAATAGTATGTTACTGTCAATTGAATAGACAATACCTAAATAGAAAGTATAATCCTTATATAGGAACAGTCCTGTTCTAAGAACTTCACATGAAAATTTTAAAAAATGGAAACCTAAAAGGAAAATAAAAAACATTGAATAAATGATAAAGTAAGTATTGGATAGTTTATTAGCAATTTTGGAAGAAAGATTGAATAGTAAATTTTATTTGCAGTTTATGGAAAAGTTGGGTAAAATGATGAAAAATTAAAATGAATGTTAAATTTTGACTTGTGTTGACTTTTCAAACTTTTAAACCAAACAACATTAACATTTTTATTAAACTGAAAAAGAGGAAACCAGGGGAAATATTGGCCACAAATGACTTACATTATTATTTATGAAGAATATCTCTAAACAGAACAAAAAGAAAGAAACTGAATCAGTATATTTTCCAATAAAAAATGCTCAAACTGACTCAAAATAGTATTGAAGATTTAAATAATACCACTTTGTGTCTTCTCAGTTTAGCAAAAATGTTTCTAAATTATACCCCATTCTGGCAGATTTAGAGTAAAGTCATCATTCACAAATTATGATAATGGGGTAAATAGCTATTTGTCACTTTGCTATTGCAATATAATAATTCCTATAAATTGGGCTGGGATGTAGCTCAGTGGCAAAGCGCTTGCCTAGCAAGTGCAAAGTCCTGGGTTCGATCCCCAGTACCAAAAAAGAAAAGACAAAAAAAAATACAGTTAAAGGGGGGAGGTAGGGAAGGGATGTGAAGGGTAAACAAAGGAGGAGGCTGCAATGCTTGATAAGAAATGTATGCATTATCCTGCCCAATGTAATTGTAACCCCTCTGTACAGTATGTTCACACAAAAATAAAATTTAATTAAAAAAATACAGTTAAAAAAAACAAGCAAAAATAATTCCTATAAATTATTACTAATGTTTATATCCACAACAGTAAACATGTTAGTGAGGTTTGATCAATCCTATTCCTAAGAATTTATCCTAAGGAATTAAAAAAGTGGGAAACATTGCTCATCTGGATGTGGTATTCCTTGTAATTCTCAAACCTGAATTTTTAGAAACACTGCAATACTTCTTAAGGTAAAAATTCTGATGCTCTAGGGTGCAGTGATGTTTAATCTCTAGGCTTTTTGAACATGTCAAATGATTCTGATTGTTCTTGTCTAAGTAACTGTAAGTGACCAGCATGCTCTAGATACCTGGTTACCAGTAAATATCGTGGCATTTCTACTTGATGAAGAAAATGGGTTTATTTGTTTGTTTAAAGATTAGAGAAAAATATGCAAAATCTTGTTAATTACCAAAAATAGCCATTGGGTGAGGGACTTGAAATAGGGAAAGGTGTAAGCTACTGTATTTGTTGGGCTCTCAGTATGAAGGGGTTTTCTTTCTTTAGTCCTAAGTGTATGGCTCTATGTAGTTTCTTTAAAACTAAAATTGAACTTGTTTTGAACTCTTTCAGGCATGTTACTACCAGATTCAGCGTGAGAAGCTTAACTAAACTGCATAACAGCTTGCAAATGGGATTATCTACCACCAAGCATTATAGCGCCATCTGGAATCTTCTTGCAGTGACAAAAAAGAACAATATTGAAATTGGAAAGGACTTTGTATTATTTGGTCATTATTTCTGAGCCTTACTAATAATTAGAATCCTGAGCCCACAGGGGAGACAGAGACTATAGCTTTAAGAGAGATGAAATCTAATTAGATCAGTCGTTGGCCTGTGTTCAGTTCCAAAGGTTTCATACATCTACTATTTGGAAAACAAGGCTATCCATTCCCACAGAGAAGGATATGTCAACCACATGATATTGTAAGAAAAATTCCCAGCATGGTCAGCTTCTTACATTAAAGAAGTTGGTGAATATTTTTGAGTTTCTGGTTTGCCTGAATCCATCTGCAGCTTCCCTAGATCCCTTGGCAAGAAGCAGGCTGAAACTATGCAGCCACACTGCGCCTTCATAGGCCCTTTCCAGTCACGTGTGCAGCATGCTTCTGTGCTAGGGATGGGAAAAGAAATTTTTAAACTGCAGTTTTAACTTTTTCTAAGCTTTTACACTAGAGTAGTGCAGAGACTACCACACCCTAACCCCAAACATGGAGAGCATCCACATAGCAGTGTTCTGCCACTTGATTAAAATCAACATAGGAATTTTGTTTTTGGTGTCCTCAGTAACAGAGAGTCAATACACTGGAATTCAAATGCCCATCAGCATTTGTCTGTACGCAACACTGGATTCCAATGCTTGGGTCTAAAAGTCTTGACAAGCTTCTGCAAGGAACCTGTTATATGGAATACCAATGAAAGAACTGCAGTATTCCCCGGCCTTTGTTGTGGTTCTTTACCTCGCACTGAATCAGATGGGAAGAAAGAGGAAAGAAGCTTTGGCTTTTCCCATCTCAAAAGTATTATGGCACCTCAACATTTTAGTGTTTTGTTTTGTTTTGTTTTTTTACTGTCCTACTGTAGGTTGTTGGTGTACACTGTACTAGTGACACTAGTAGCTGTTATGGATAATATAGGTGCTCTTTATCATCTCAACCCATACGTACCATAGTGAGCGGACATAATGTTCTGATTAGGTGAAGTGACTCCGCAGATGTTAACAGCTTCTGAAAAACGATCATGGTTCCTGCTCTACTTTCTAATCAAGACAAATGTTTGTTAAAATATTGTTTTGGAATGTTGGCTGTAATGTTACAGCAATTTTCATAATAAATTTCATTCATCTTTATAAGGTGGTTTCATGATTGTGGAAGAAATGACATAGGGCAGATTAAAAGAAACCCAGGCTCAGTGTTCCTTTTGCCAACATTGTGAGACCTTTAATATAAGCAGTAATCATCTTTGCTGACAAAGAAGGAGTTAGTTCTGATCCTAATGACCCAAGGACAAGAGCCCAAAAGAAAGCTATTATAAAAGGTATATTTGATACTTAATCATTTTTCATTTTGTTTTTGTTACTTTTTTTTCTGGTTAGAAACAGATGATTATCTCACAGTTGTAATGTTTCAAGGAGCTTTTCCACCTTGCCTCTTGCCATCGGCCAGAACATAACTGTTCTATTTGGAAAGGAACCAACTCTCAAAAAGTTGTCTATGTTAAGCACTTCGCATTTCCATCAGGGATTGTTTAATTTTTCTGTACAAGTACAAATAGTATAATTGGCTATTAAAACAAATTTATTAAATGTTTACCTCCTTAAGACAGACAAGAATATTTTGTGGAAGTGGACAAACTTGGACTGTTTGAGACAAGTAGACTTACTGAGAAATTCTCAAGTGATGGTAGTCAGTCTCCATTCTAAGGAAAATGTTGCAATCCATCATTTTATTGGAGTCATAGATTAAGCCAAACAATTGCTTTAGAGTCTTTATGCTATATTTAGGCTTCTTGGGTAACAAAAATGATACATTTTGAGTTCACTTGATGGAAAACTGAATCTCCTCCAGCCAGGTTTGTAAATAGAAATATTTAGTGTTCATGCAACAAATATGATCATCTTTCACATTCACAGAGAATGGTCGATCACAGCAGCCCTGGAAGGCAGGAATCGACCCTTTTGTCCCTGTTTTGCAACAAAGCATAGCTGTGATTTGCTCATTTCCAGATCTAGGACTTCAGCCTGACCGTCTCCATTCTAGCTCCAGTGTTCTTTCCAGCTATAGCTGCCACAGGTATTATTTCATGGCTGAGTTCTACATTGGAAGTTCTCAAAAAATGAGTTAGACATGAAAAATCCATTAAAAGTAAGCGCTTTTGATAAAATACACTGTGCTGAAAAGCTCACAAATGTTTTATTTCCAAGTTTCTGTTTTTCCTCTACAATTGGGAGATGAAGCATCTTTAATTTTGAATCTAGGTTAGATAATGCTCAGTGCTGCTTGGGCTTTTTGTCTTGTTCAGCAGTACTCTGTCTTCTATTCTTTCTGTGAGATCCAGAACTAGTCTTTCCCCCAACCACCCCAATACTGACAGACCTGACTGTAGCTACAGTCTGAGGTAGAAGAATGAAATATTTGTTAAGTTCAGAAGAGAAGCTTGATAGGATGGATCAGAACAATCTGTTTCTGATGGGTCTCATTATTGGCCTGATATTTTTCACCAGAACATGAGAAAACAAAGGTTCAGAAGTTGATTTACTCCGGGTGCCTTCACAGTTTTACCTTTCAGTAAAAGTATCATCTTCTGATGATGGCTTTGAAGATGGCTCAGTGGTAGAGTGCTTGCCTCTCATGCATGAAGCCCTGGGTTCAATTCCTCAGCACCACATAAACAGAAAAGGCCAAAGTGGCGCTGTGGCTCAAGTGGTAGAGCGCTAGCCTTGAGCTGAAGAGCTGAGGGACAGCACCCAGGCCCAGAGTTCAAGCCCCATGACTGACAAAAAAAAAAAGTCTTCTATGGCAGTCCCATTATCAACAAAGATATTAATATTTTTAGTGCTAATTGTGCTGGTAATGTGTGAGAAGAGACAAGTTTAAGAATGGTATAAATTAGATGTTTTGATGCCAGGAATGCTTATGATTTGTGACAGGTGAGGATTTTGAGTAATCAGGCGGGGTTAGATCTGTGGATTAAATCAAAGAGGATGTGCAGAGGTTTTACCTAGAGCAGTGAGGTGACTTTGGTTGCTAATAGCCCACTATTATTTGCTACTCAGGCTTTCATCTGAATAGGAGCAACATTGCATGTTTATACTCTTGGAGGTAAGAGACTGCCCAAAAAAAATCCTCAGAGGATATCTCTGACAACTGTCATTTTTAATAGGTAAAGATAGAATTCTGGGTAATTGAATCTACCTGGTTGAGTTTCGTAGTAACTCAGATTACATAGGAAATTGTGTGATTTTTGAAAGAGTAGATTCCTCTGAGAAGCCATTTCTTAAGTATGAAATAATGTATTGTCATGTGTCTTGAGTAAAACAGCATTTATTCTAATCCTAATCAATAGCAGTGACTCAGGAAACAAACCATTTTTTTACAGAGCATTTCTTATCATTAAGTTTTCAAGTCCTTTTTTTTTCAGAACCTGTCTGTTTTAAAGAATTATTTTGAAAAACAAACATTAAAACATTGAGTAGTTATCAGTTCATTTTTGAAAGCTAATAGAAATACTGAAGGTAATGTTTAGGACCAGTGCCTTTGAACTTAATAGTAATGCAGCGTGTAAGTCAGTGACAAGAACTGGCAAACTGTGCTTGTTATTTAATTAGCTTTGAGTTGTATGTGGGTGAGTGCTTGCAATCTCAAACAAGAATTCCCAACCTTGAGACAGCAGAAACAGGTAAGTCTCTGCTAACAAAGTTGATGCCGAAGTTATGATAAGAAGAAGCATCACAGTCTTTTTCCAGATACCAGCACCTTTAAGGACTAGGTAAACAGAGTATAATATTTTGGTTTTTCTATTCCTGAACTCTACTAAATTCCTCTTTAACTGTGAAATTCCTTATCTGGTAAAGGTATAGGTTCTGTTTTATTATCTCTTGAAGATTCCCTTCAGCTCCTGATTTTAAAGTATGGTGGAAAAAGAGGTTTAAGGTTGGTATAAGCAAGACAGGGAGGAGAAGAAGGGCACATACCTGGAGAGTTCAGCTCTCCTGCACCTCAGGAGGAAATTCCAGCTGCGCTCAACTCTATGTGGGTGAGATTAGCTTTTTATATTTTCACTACTTGTTTCTCACTACTTGTTTTTCTGACCTTAGCAACATCTGGAAATACTGTGCACTTGCTATATAGTTCAAGCACTGTTCAGGTGAAGCTGCAGCATGAACAACTCAAAATTCTCTGCTCCACCACATGCTACAGATGTAATACCTGGGAGATGGAAACAGAGAAAGCTAATGGATATGATAATTGAAACAAATGATGAGTGCTATAAGCACAACATACTGGAATTTGTATTACTTTTTTCTAATTTTAGAGGGTTACAGCAAAATACCATAGGATTATTGGGTAGTTTAGACAATGGAATCCTTTTTTTCTCAAATGCTGGCATGGTTTGTTCCTATGAGGACTTATTTCCTGACCTCACAAGTCAGATAGCACAGAGAGAATAAGCTTTCCGTGAAGGGCACTAATGCCATCATGGAAGATCTGCCCCTGTAACCTCACCTAAACCTACTTATCTCCAAAGGTCCAGTCTCCAAATCACATCACTTTGGAGACTAAGGGTCCAAAATACAAAGGGGAGAAGGAGGATGACAAAGTTCAATCTGTAGTAAATTTGTCATAGAAGCCTGAAGATGATTAGGCAAGTGCAATGTTTAGAATCCATTACAGCTGGACAGAAGAGAATTATTAGTTATATCTGTAAGGTTGAAAGAGTTAGTCAAAGGAACCTTTTAAAATAGATAATCCTTGGGCTGGGAAGATGACTCAGTGGTAGAGTGCTTGCCTTGCATGCATGAGGCTCTGGGTTCCATTTCTCAGCACCACATAAGCAGAAAAAGCTGAAATGGCCCTGTGGCTCAAGTGGTAGAGCACTAGCCTTGAGCTGAAGAGCTGAGGGACAGTGCCCAGGCCCAGAGTGAAGACCTCACAACTGACAAAATAAATAAATAATAAAATAGATAATCCTGAAGTTGCCTGTAGATTTACTAGAAGCTTTTTTATATTTATCTGTTTATTTTTGGTGCTGGCAGTGGGGCTTGAACTTAGGGCCTTACACTCTTGTTTGACTTTAGAAGCTATTCTAATTGAAACTCACTATAGAAACCACTGCCTGATCCATTCATATACTGAAGGGCATCTGGGTTTGTTCCATATCTTAGCTATGGTAAATAATGCTGCAATAAACACAGTTGTGCTCGTAGCTTTAGTATGCTCTTGTCTGTGATCATTTGGGTAAATGCCCCAAAGTGGGATTGCTGGGTCATAGGGGAGCTCTGTGGAGTCTTTTTGAGGAACCTCCATACTACTTTCCAAAGTGGTTGAACAAGTTTACACTCCCACCAATAATGCAGTAGTGTTCCCTTCTGTCCACATCCCCTCCAGCATCTGTTGTTATTAGAGTTCTTGATTTTAGCCATTCTAACTGGAGTGAGGTGGTATCTCAATGTTGTTTTGATTTGCATTTCTTTTATGGCTAGGGAGGTTGAGCATTTCTTCATGTGTCTATTGGCCATCCTTCTTTCCTCTTCAGAGAAGGTTCTCTTTAAGTCTTTATCCCACTTATTATCGGCAATTGTTTCTCTGAGGATTTGTTGTTGGAGGATTTAATTTTTTGAGTTCCAAGTATATTTTAGATATGAGACCCTTGTCCATTGTATGGCTAGTGAAGATCTTCTCCCAATCCGTGGACTTTCTATTGATCTTGCTAGCTATGTCCTTTGCCATGCAGAAGCTCTGCAATTTCATGCAATCCCATTTGTCCAACCTTTCTTTGATTTGTTGTGTTTCTGAGTCTCTTTTAAGAAAATTTGGGCCTGTGCCAAGGAGACCTAGGGTTTCTCCTATTCCATCCTGTAATTTTTTCAGAGTGTCTGCTTTGACTCCGAGGTCTTTGACCCATTTGGAGTTGATTCTGGTGCAGGGTGAATGGATCAAGAAAATGTGGTATATATACACAATGAAATTCTATGCCTCCATCAGAAAGAATGACATTGCCCCATTTATTAGGAAATGGAAAGACGGAAAAAAATATATTAAGTGAAGTAAGCCAGGCCCAAAGAAACATAGATCCCATGGTTTCCCTTATTTGCAATAACTAGTATATGTCTGAGACAAGCAGAAATGG